TTTTCCTTTTTCTTCTTTTTGTTTCTTTCCTCCTCTTCTTGGCTTGCAATAATATCGGCAATAACCTGATGGAAAGAAAAGAATCATGGCGCGTGAGCAGATGCCTCTGGCAGGCGGCCTCTCCTTCTGGTCTGGAGGGAAGAGTTCGTGCTGGGGACTCCCACTGTGCCCGCTCTGGGCCTGACGAGGACCCCTGCCTGGGCATCACTGGGGCTTCCCACCTGCCAGCAGGGGCCTTTGGCAGACCATCAGCAGAAGGCAGTGCTGGGACCCGGGGGCAGATGGAGAGGGAGGTGGGGCCTTTCCCAACCCTGCTGCCTCCCTCGTTCCCAGCCACCGGAGCTCTCGGGGTTCCAAGAACCCTCGGCCCTCGCTGAGCCCCAGGGCTGGAGAGACTCCGGCTTCCTCTTGTGGCCTCCAAACCTCAGCAGCAGTGAGGGTGTCAGCCCTGCCCACAGCTCCTTCGAGACCCCAGCCCGGCGCTCCTGTTGTTTCCTGACCGGACTCAGTCACTGCACTCGCTCCTCTTAACTTCCCTGCCCGTAAACGCTCGCACATCCCTTCAGAGTGCATCTCTGTCACCCGTGGCTCAGCTGGTGTCTCCTACGGTGACTGATGAGGGCAAAGGCCACAGAAGGTGAGGCAAACGAAAACCCTCACAATGTTGCCGGGAAGCAACACCGTGACCGCGGAGACGCAATCAAAGTGGCTGAGGATTTCATCCACATAGATCACAATGGGGCCGGGAAGCAACACCGCGACTGCGGAGACGCAATCCAAGTGGCTGAGGACTTCATTCTGCGTAGACAACAATCAACGCCCACGGAGGCAGAGCCAAGAGATCAGATGGCATGGCATTGGGCAAATCAGCTGCAGAAACCTCTTTTTTGCCCCTAATAGTTTTTTTTTTTTCTTTTCCTTCTGGTGGTTCAAACCCACCAGCCACTCCTCGGAAGGAAGGTCGGGCAATCTACTTCCATAGTGATACCGCCTTGGAAACCCAAGGAGGGGTCGCTATGAGCTGGGTCCAACTCTGAGGCATGTAACAACCACAACAACCCTCTAGTTAGTAGCTCACCCACCCTTCTCCACCTGGACCTGGTAACCGTCAGAGAGTCACTCACCACAGCACCATTCACAACAGCGAAAAGATGGAAC